CCCCAAAACCCCAAAACCCCAAAACCCCACTTAGAATAAATTAGTGCAATAAAGATAAAATAAAGTAATAAAAATCAATTCTAATCGTTGTTTATTTCTAGTTGATTGATCGAGAATATATTCATTTATTTGAAAATCTCCATTAGACAATCAATCACATTTTCATAGTTAGATTTCACCATTCCACTCTTATATTCTTAGTCAACAAATAACCATTCAAATACATCATTGGGCATTACATAGAAGACATTTGCTTTCTTTTTCACTTGAAAGAATGTAATTAGAGAGTTAATACAAAAGCTTTGGATAAGAGTCAGTTCATCCTAGTTTAATCTACTAGATGATTAAAGTTTCTCTGCAAATACAAAATGATTAAGTACTTGTTTAAACTATTCTGTATTTTAGTAAATATTTACTTTGGCATCTTCAAGACCTTTAATAATTTTCTAGCCAATTTAACGAATAATCTAAGACTTTTATGAGTTCTCAGGGGAATCATAGTTCAAAAGTATTTCTAGCTTGTAGAGTATCTTGATAAGTACTTCATCTTCATTTGTTATCAATTAAAACGTTTTAACTAGAAGAGAGATTGAAGCTTCGGAGATCCCATCAATCACTTTTTCGATTTATGTATCTTTGACTTCATCAAGAATAAAATTCTCAATCATAATCTCAAAGAGTCTAATATATTACAAATATAAATCTTACTAAAGTGACTTGTCCTACTGTATACCTTGCAACTTATGAAGCAATATAATTAATTTATGCAGATTTTTGTGTTTATTCACAATCATAAAAATAAGCCTTTCAAGTGCTTGTTTTTTATACTAGCAAAATAACTCATGATGATCATTTATCAGTTCCACTATGTATTCTAATTCCTCTAACTTATTAGTTTCTTTAATCTTAGAATAAATATATTAATCCACCTATTTTCATTATTTTATTAAAATTACCTGGAAAGATCCAACAATGTTATCTTGTAGAACTTTAAGTAGTTCTTTGGTAAGTTTAGGAGGATTAAACAGAGAATTGTAAATTTCCATTTTCTTGATCACTGATTGTAACTGTGGTGATACATAATTTAGCTCATCATAACTTTATGGGGAATCAAAAACTTTGGAGCTAGAATCATAAACATCGTGACTCATAAATCCTTTTTATGTTGCGGCTATTAAAAAGATTTATTTATTTCTAGACTTACAAGATTGCAATCTGTTGACATTATTAGTTCTAGATATCTACTAGAATTAGTTGATCTTTGATTGTAACTTGACTCCAGAAAACTCAGAAGAATAGTTTGATTATCTATGCTCTCTCTACTAATTTGAATTGATTCCTCGAATCGATCCATCTTCCTGTCCATCATTTATCAGCTGTTCCTAAGTTGTCAAGTACTTTCCATTTTCAAGATACTAAGACTCTGCTTTCCCCTAAAAAACTGTTAAAATACTATAATATTACTCTAGCAGAAACAGACACCTCGAAACTCATATCTCTTTTTTAGAAAGTTGTATACACTTTTTACCTTTCATGAGGATTGCTTGCCTTAACATTCAGAACCTTACTCTCTTCAACAGGTTTCTACTGATTATTTTTATTGGCAGAAAGTATTTGATTCATTTGAGACTACTGCTGACTGTGAACTATGATTTTACTTTTATATGTCTATTCCATTTTACTATGAGATTTTGTCGGAGTTGGCTCCCTTTTCACTGAATTTTAGGTTGAAATATTAGACTTCAAATGATTTGGAGATTTCTATTTCCTTTGAGACACTGATCCATCTTGGATATTTATCCTTTTTGGAGATTTTTCAGCCTGCTAAATATTAATGTGAAGATTCATGTTAGGATTCATGTACTTTTACATGTTCCTAAGAAACACCTTATGCTTTCTAGGCTATGATTAAGACAGCATTACTTTGGTTGAAACAATATGATCACTTGGCTTGTTTACACTTTTCTAGATCTGTAATGAAGGCTCCTTTAATCTATCCATATCTCTAAAATCAATTTCCTACTTAATACTTAGTTAGCCTGATCCCTTGTCAAAGGACTAATCAAACTTTCTCACACCCATATTTGTTGATGAGCCACTTCTTCTTTTAAATTGTGCTAAGTTGCCAGTTTTAGGAGCTTCTTTCTTTCTTTTAGCAGTTTGATTCGCCAATGGAAAATCATCTAAATCTCCAGATCTTTTCATATTTTTCTAAGTTGGGGATGCCATTAATGATCTATACTATGGTACGAGTGTAGGTTGATCTAGAGAGAGAATCAAGTTATTTTCCTTAATGGTAATGTCTTAGTACTTTTAGTTATTTCTATTATCAGGACTGCTAAATATAGATTAATATTTCTATATATTCTTTGAAGGTGACTAGGGCTATCTTACACCACTATTTAATGATTCTATTAAAGCCTTAACTTGACTCTCAATTACCCTCAGATTTTCTAATCTTTTACTAAGATCAACACTGTTTAAGTCAATGTAGAGTGACTGATTGATGTTTTAAATCTAAAAGTTTACTATCTATGGTTCTTTTGTCTGGCTTTTACTTTACGATATCTTCTATATTAATTCACTGCTCTGCTTCGACTTTGGCTATGACTGTGCTGGGTTTAATTTAATATTCGCACTTCTAACTCCAATGCTAAGTTTAGATTGCTTTTCAACTAATTTACTCATGTTTATTTAAGTTTTCTTTAGGCTTTGGTTGATCATTGGAATCTTTCTCTTCGATTTTTACTCAGATAATCCTAATTCAAATCTTCTGAGAGTGTCTTGATTTAAGTAGCTACTGGTGTCTAGCAATTTCTCATGAACGCTACCCACTCCAGAATTAACTGATTATCTGTATGACATTTAAGCTTAGGATAAATCCCATTCTAATTTTGTTCTTTTAATACTAATGTGCTTTAGTAACTGTTTAAAACTCAGAAGAACAATAAGTTCTGAGCTGTTTTGGTTTTTATTTATATTAATGAAACTCTGAATCAGATTATTCAGCTCATGAGCTAGTGATATTGATGAGCAAACTATATCGAATGCTACTTATTTTATCTCGTTATCTTCAAAGAAACTGATGATTACTTTCCAAACAACTGTCTTGATAACTTAAATCTAGGAGTTATCATTCACATAATCGATGATTTTCAGTATTATATGAAGTATAAGTTTAGTCAGCTAAATGTTAGTAGGGTTAACATCAGCTGCAAGCAAACTGATGAAGTTAACGATTTCTTGAACTATATAAGTTTTGAGTATCTTATTAGCAGTTAGAGTTTTGTCTAGTATCTCCAAGAATGCTAGTTTTGTTTGCTTTTACTGAGTATTACCTGAGTGTTTTTGAATGCTGAAAAAACTTTTGATAATGTAGTCGCTAACTAAATGATCTAAGCTGTCCATGAAATACTCTGAATTCTGATTTTCTACAACAACATTTTGGAATTTAGCTTGATTTTGTCCGAATTTCTTATGACTATCAAATATCAAATAGAGCAAACTGCAGCATCTCACTTATTCTTTGATGATCTAACATTAGAGAAGATCGTACGAGGTCTAATCATCTGAATTAAACATTTAGATTCTGTCTTTGAGCACATGAGGCACAGCGGCTAATTGACTTTATGCATCAGTAATTACATAAGTTATCTCTAAATTGCTGTAATAGCTCAAAATCTCATTAAGTGTCTAAAGAGCTGCTAATTGCACTTTACTATCAGAGTCATCCACAAAGTAGGAGAGTATCTTTAAAATTTGAGAATTCAAATTGATCACATTCTAGTTGAAGCTCAGTTAGAAAGATTTGATGACTTTGCAAATCTTTTCTTAATCTAAGTTCTAGTCAGTTAGTTATTTTAGAGCATAATGCTTTGCTATATTTTTATCTATTCTTAAAAGTATAGTATCTTTTTTAGTATCATTAGGAATATTCTAGGATGTGTCGATCAAGGTCAAGAATGACTACTCTGATAGAAATCCAAATCTCATGAGTAAATCTTTCAAGACTTATATCTAGTTTTTTCTGGATTTTTCATTAATCTCTATAATTAAATGATAATTATAAAGATATCTAACTTACTTTAATTAGAATGTACTTTCTTTATCTTTGCTGCAATGAAATCTTGAACAAAAATCAGATTGCACCCCATAATTATTAGTGTCTAATATAATTGATTTAAAATGTTCTTACATCAATAAGTTTAACATAGAATTAGAACTTCTCAGTTTTATTTTTGTTTATTTACTCATCAGACTCAATGAATATTGAAATCAATTTGATGGCAGTTTCCTCCACTATTTTCTTATCCTTGTGTAGAATTTCCTTCCATTTCAGTTCTCTTTGCTTCTCATCATTATTTCCCTTGGCTGAAGTAGGGGAAAATAAGATGCTTTGATCTCTTACTGTCAATCCTTGTCTATATGTATTTGAAGATGACTATGATCTATTTTTGAGATTCTATTGCTATTGAAATGACATTTTTTAAATGTTATTTGCCTTATCAAGATTTATAGTCCTTTTAGAGACTGAGGAAAGCTTTGAATTATTAAAGTTATTAGATTATGAGGATTATGTACCAACACTAAATCTATCTAACTTTGAAGGAGTTGTAGGAGATAATAGACTATTCTTGTTATTACTTGTGCTTTTAGTGGCTGAAGAAGCTATGGATACTGTAGAATTATTTGTTTCTCCGCTAATGTCAAAAATAATCTAATGTTCTTTTCTTGATTTAAGCTTATACAGTTCCTGATTTGTAGTGAAATCCTAAACAATGTCAATTATTAGAATGAAATCATTCAACTGATCTTCTTAAATGCTTTTAGGTTCTAACTTTTAAATAACTTTATGCAAGATCAATAAAACAGGCCTCATTATATCTGCTGTAGGCATAACTTTTAGAAAAGAGAAGTCCTCTTTAAGCCTATTTATAGTCCTTAAAATATTTAATACTGTATTAATTTAAGTTTCGCTACTATTTATATTTCTAGCATTATTTTTAATAGTTAAGTTTACTTAATTACTAGTAATATTCAAAAGCCTTTGAAAATCTAAATGCTTCACAAATTCCTCAATAAAAATTTTAGTTAAGTTAATTGTATTTTTCTTTAATATCTTGAATATCAAATACTCATCTTACAATAGCTTGTATTTTAATTCTATTAAGTCATCTCTAGTTTTCAATGTTAATTTAAAGAGCTTTGAATGTTATGTGATTACATCAGAAAATCTCTAAATAATGGATAAAGCTCTATTTAAGATAAATATGGATTTAGTGTTTGAAATCATAAGCCCAAGGTATATCTTAACATAATCGATTTATTTCTTGATAGATCTAATAACTAAAAGTTTTTCAAGATATCTCAAAGTTTACTACATTTACTCCATATGTGTAATTTCGCCCAAATTCAAAAGCTTTAATTTTTTCTAATCTCTACTAGAAATTACTTGAAACATATGTTCCGCTGCTAAAAAATGCTGAAATTATATTGAGCTAAATCTAAAGATATCTACAAATCTATTGATATTTCCTTCTTCGTCTTCGAAATCAATAGCCCCTTAAGCATAAGGATTCAATGATAGAGCACTCTCTCTACCTGAAATAGGAAGGTTTACCATATTTAGCTACTGCAGCAGATTTTGATTATTCATCATGAGATTGAATCTAAGTTTTTCATCATCTAATTTTTTATGATTAAATGCTAGTACTGATGGATGCTTATTTAAGTTATTATAGGCATCCATTAGAGCATTTAGATTAATTTTGCTTCTTTAAGTTGAAACAGGAGATTTTTCCATTAAGAGAGTAGCAGTTGACTCATCCCTATTGTGTAACCCTTGATCTCGAAGATGTCTATCATTAATATATCCAGATGCTCTATGAGAGGGTAAATTGCTAGGGTTTTGTTTGAATTGTAACTTCTTTTTATTGATAACTGTAACCTCTTAATTGATGATGTTGAGATTACTCTAAGTGATTCCTTGGATACCATGATTACCAATTACAGGCTTATTAGTAATTGCCTCCTCATTTTCTTCAATCAAACATGACTCGACAGCAACTATACCAGGGTTTCTAGAATTGTATTCTTTTGAAATTGGTTCAACAACGAAACTTTGTAGTAAAATATTATTTGGATTATTGTCCATAAATGCTCTTTGATATATATCTTGAGGTGTAGGCATCTAAGTCAGTGATAGTCTTTAAGGTGTAGGAAATTTAGTATCATAAGCATAATTTATACCAATATCTAAATTTAAATCTTTATCTGTTTCTATCTTAGCATCTTCGTTTGAGGTCTCTGAAATAAAAGAGTATCCTGAGTTATTTAGATAGTCATTAATCATGTAAGGTTTACCCTCTTGAATTTTATCCTTTAAAGATTACTTATTTTTAATGAGAACTTTATTCGAAGCATTTTTTGACAGCATATGAGTTGTTCTGTTCATATCAAGTGTAGAATTAATCATAAATGAGTTCATAGCATCCAAAAATGTGCAGATTTACTCACTCATACTGAATAATAATCTCTAGCAATCTTTTATAGAGGGTTTTCCGATAGTTTTTAAGAATTTTTTCCAGTTATTAAATCTCTAAAGTCTATGAAAGTCTACTTCAGAAAAATCTTTTAAATTTCTAGTAAGAGCTTCAAATGCAATTGCAGGGAGACAAATTGTGAGTATATCTTGTAAATCTGATTCATCTTAAATCTAAATTTTAGATAGATGCTTTAGAAAGTTCCACATTACATGTATTTTTGATTTTTTAATTCCTAATTTATTTAAGAATGCACCTTTAACTAATGCTTTTTTCTTATCTAAGTAGATAGTTAATTGAAGCATTTAATAATTAGATATTAGTTTTACTATCTTTACATCTTTTTGAAACTAATTAAATTTTTCGAATTAGCCTGAGTTCATTTACTTTCTCATGTTATTCACTGTCAAAGCATCAAAAGGCATTTGCATCTAGAATATCTTTATTTTATCAAGTCCTTTTAACTGACTTAGCAATAGATGCCTTAAACAAATTACTACATTATTCAATTGCTTATTTTAGAGTAGATCTCTGATTATTTGTAGCACTTGATATTTAAACTGCCCAATCTAATCAATCCCATCAATATAAACAAGAAGATTTTTGCTATCATATTCTTCGATGAGTAGCTTAGAGTATTACGCCTCTTATTGTTCAATCATATACTTGATGAATCCTTTTTGCTGAATATTTCTTTTTACTTGCGAGTTTACATTGATATTAACAATAGATCTGCAGTCGATATAAAATGGTGTGCTTATTTAAGTGCTACTTTTGTTTGTATCTTTAGATAATATTTTATCACACTGCTTTAAGATGCATTGCTTAATAAAAGTAGATTTCCCTGTATTTGGAGCACCTGCAATAACATATAATATAGACTAGTCTCTCTCAGAATCAGAGACGATAGCATTGAATGTCAAAGCGAAATTTTTACTAACTGCTGAATCTCTAGACAACTTAGGCTGAGGCATATGCTCTGAAGTTAGGGTTTACTGTAGGAAGGAATTATTCATCTAGTAAAGTCTTTCATTGTAATACTGCTGATAAAATTCATCTTCTTCAACATCTCTATGAGATTACTCTTACTCTATTAAATCGATCAAATTTCTTGCTTGATCATTGCTAAGTTCTGATAATTAATACTCCTAATAAAATTGATCAAGAAAAATAGTACCTATTGTGCAATTTAGACTGGATCATTTGTGAAAGGATTATAGGCATATTGAAACTTTTTAATTAGCGATAGACAATAGCTGCTCTTTTTGCGAGATTATTAATCCATTTAATTAATTTTATTTTTAATTAATTCTCACACTAAATATTGATTTAAGGGGTTTTGGGGTTTTGGGGTTTTGGGG